GATCGTCGGCTTTTGGATCGATGCATCGATACAAAACGATTATTATTTACACCCCTAATATAAATGGCTCATTAGCATGGTTAGCCTGATTTATATGAGACGGTTAGGTCAGTCTGGAAGGCTAAATACTCTCCTGTCTAAAATAGACCGACCAATCAGAACGGAGCAGGGCCCTTAATGCAGCAGCGTTCTTCGGTAACCTTAACAGCCAAAACTGCAGCTGCAACATGTTTTAATGATTGCCTTTATTATGTACCAATAAAGCTGTTTATATCTTTAACATTTCAACAACTTCCCTCTGTAGCAACATCTATTTAAATATTTCTTTACCTTAGGTTTCATATTAAATATGACATGCATGGCTTCAAAGACTAGCTATGATTTTTGGTTTATATCGGCAGTAGGATCTGCAGCTATATGCAGATAGCCATTAAGCTGTACAACTCATCACTGGGGGTAAAAAAGAGGTGATAGGAAGAGGAACAAGGGTCAGCATCCCCGTCCTTAGACATCCTATGCAAAGCACTACCTATTTTCACTCGTTCATTATTCTACTGTCTCTCTCTGCAATAAAACATGCAACTACTGTGTAGCCTGTGTACTTTTTTTAAAAACTTATTTATAAGGTCAGTACATTTCTGCAGTTCAATAATTGAATTCATATACTTAGCTCTCTGCTGTGCAGATATTTTTATATCTAAAGGAAACATATTCCAGAAATTTACAACTCAATTTTTTTTTTTATGCTCTTTTGTATTTTTATCTTTAATTGCATCTTGCTTTAACTCTTTGTACTCTATATAAGCTACTGGAACCAGAATTTCCCTGAAGAAGTCATTCCAAGCGATAAATAAAGTTGAATCTAAGTCTAAGTTTGCTCTGTTAAAAAAAATAAAACAAATGTTTTCCAAAAATTGTTAAATTCCCTTTTCTTGCATGTTTATATGATTAATTAATTCAAGACAGACACCGACTGTATGCTGCTTGTCTTTATTTTTTCTTATATATGTATTTTTATATATCTTAGTGTTGTAGTGTGCTTGTACTTTTATAGGAAGATATTATCACATTCTACAAGCTTCTAAGAATGTATGTTAAGATCAGTATTGTAATCATGCATGAATATCCTTACATTGTTTTTTTTTTTATCTTATCTTATTTTATCTTATTTTATTTATTTATTTTGCTGAAAAGAATAGCTTAAAAGAATAATGCAGTGCAGACGTATGTTAAGCCAGTCTTAGATTAAACAAAAAAGAAATGTATAAGAAGGCGTGCAGATTAGCAGATGGCCGGAAAGGTTCCACTGCAGCACAGCAGTTAGCAGATTTAGAAAGTTAATCCTGAATGTTACTGTTAACTGAAATTAATATTTGTGCAGATTGGGAACATTATCCCTGTAGAACCTGCATGTGTGCGTCAGTCCATCTGAGAAGTGATTCTGCTTCTCTGCAGCTTTCTGCTGTAAGTGGAGTTCTATTTTAACCCAAGAAGTGAAACCAAAGGGTGAAAAACAAACGATCCAGTTTCACACATTTGATCTGAGAATAAAGGCTCAGTTAAAGTGATCGCTCCATAAAACAAGTGTTGGTTGGAAGGGATTAAAAATCTTCTCGGCTGGAATAATTATTGTAGATGTCTAAAATAAATGGATGCACAGACGGCTGATGAGATTCCTCCATTTCCAGATCCGGTCCTCGGCCTCATGAGTACCTGAATGTCTCTGAGCTGCCCAAGGTGTGGGACTGGAGGAACGTCAACGGAACCAACTTCGTCAGCACGACTCGCAACCAGCACATCCCCCAGTACTGCGGCTCCTGCTGGGCCCATGGCAGCACCAGCGCCATGGCAGGTATGAGTCGACACAGCTCTCATTAATCAGGCGCTTTAAAAACACTATAAATGGTTGTGGCTTCATCATAAGACTGAAAATATATTTTTACATGCATGAGGCGGTTTCATTTCCTCTTCTAAAAGAGGAAGCAACAATCAGAAACTTGTGGTGGTTATCTTTCCAATTGTCTTAAGGCTTGACTCCTCCTCCTTTAGATCGCATCAATATCAAGAGAAAAGGAGCCTGGCCTTCTGCGTACCTCTCTGTGCAGCATGTGATCGACTGTGCTGATGCTGGCACTTGCCATGGAGGGGATCACAGCGGAGTCTGGGAGTATGCTAACACCCACGGCATCCCAGATGAGACCTGCAACAACTACCAGGCTAAAGACCAGGGTAAGAGAGCCCCTAAAATATGGAGAAATAAAACTGCAGCTATGCATCCAGTTTGACTCTCACCTCTACCTGCTCTGTTCCCAAAGAATGCAACAAATTCAACCAGTGTGGCACCTGCACCACGTTTGGAAAGTGCAACATTGTCCAGAACTACACTATGTGGAAGGTGGGCGACTACGGCTCTGTCAGCGGGAGAGAGAAGATGATGGCTGAGATTTATGCCAGAGGACCAATCAGGTTTGCAGCACTTTGTTCAGAATTCAAGGGAGATTTTGAAAGTTTACTTCATCAAATCTGCTTCATCATTCAGGTTAAACTGCATTTCATCCATCAGTTTGAAAGCAGTAGCTTTTAGCAGTGCCTGAGGAGCACTGCTGGGCACCAAAGTAGGGCCCCTTTTACTCTAGCACCCCTAAATAAAATCCGGGTCCACTCAAAACCTCTGAGTGGATTAATCTCTGCTTGAACACAGCTGTTCTGTGAAGGTCTCTTATGTTTGGTAGAAAACATCACTCAGTTGGTTGAACAGCAGATGGCCGCTCACACTGAGCCTGGTTCTGCTGGAGGTTTTCTTCCTGTTCAAAGGGAGTTTTTCCTCTCCACTGTCACTACAAGCATGCTTAGTGTGAGAGATTGCCTTCAATTCATAAGAACACGAGTACGGACTCGTGTCCTCGCTAAGTATGTTCTTGGGAAGAACCCAGTAATGTGTGGACTCTGGGAGAACGGGAGCACGCATCATAAATATGGGTGAATTGGAACAGAAGCGTACTGATGACATCACCACACGCTCTGCTCACCTGGAGCTGCATTTCAACACCTGTTATTAATAGCCTCTAGATAATAATAAATTCTGACTTTTTTCATTTAGTGGGGAAATGATAATGAACACAGTCAGATAAACACAAATCAAATGAACATCAAATATAGCCGGGCTAGGTCCTCTCAACTTCTGATTTTTTTTTTTTTCTTTAATTACGCATTAAATCGGTAAATGGGCCATATAGTGATGGTTAAAAGTGTGTTTTTGCCTCAAATGATCTTAAAACGTACTTTTATTGAACAAAGGCAACAGAAAAGAGAACATTTAACGTAATATTCTGAGCTCTGTGAGCGCTAACCTGGAAGCTGCTGCTGCCGCAGTGCATGCTGGGACAGCTGTCAATCTCAATAACGGACAAGTCTGCTCTGATGCATGCTGGGTAAAGAGGGAGGGGCGAGAACAACATCCGGGGAATTTGTCCATTCTCGGTCTCCTGTGAATTGGAACAGTAACAGGGCTGAGGCTGATGACTTTTCTCTAGCACACGAGAACATGAAAACACACAAGTACACATTGAGAAACGGCCAATGAGTCGATGCAATCAACTAGTTTTCCTTAGATAGAAAACTTTAAATCAATCTGACAGGATGCTCAGGTGAACTGTAAAGTACCTTGAGATGACATTTGTGAATTGGCGCTATAGAAACAAACTGAATTAAATTGAATTAAACGTTGCGTAGGTTTAAAGCAGGGTTGCTTTAAAGATTTTAACATCTACCAGATAACTATATAAGCAGTAATAAGAAAATGGGAGGAGCATGTGACAGCAGTAAACCAACCATGACAAGAATCTGTAACAGGAATGTTGGTAGTTTTATGCTCCTTAAATCCGACCTTAATAGAGGAGCAGCAAGAATAACAAGTGATTTAGAAGACACTATATACCTGTGGTACATCCACCGACTCGAAAATGTAAAGGCTCAAAGGTGCGTTCAGGAGCAACTAAATAGTCTGAAATGAGAAGGACGTATTTCTAACAGTTTGAAGAGCTTAAAATGGACAATCGCAGCAAAGCAGTGGGGGGAAGTTCAGGAAATACTCTTTGGACTTGTGTCCGTCCGTCTATTTTTCATAAAAAAAATCGATTGACTTAATCTAGAGTTAGTTGATAACGATTGAGAAGCATCCATTTTCTCTTGTATTAAAAGGATCTTTAAAAAAAAACATTAAAGCCTAAATGTTGAAAAATATGCTGTATTAAAAAAAGTATATATTTTTATTTGACCAGTTTATTGTGCTAGTTATTTTAGATACAAACTGAATAATGCACACGCCTGGATTCTCAAGCTCCATGATTTAATACCTTTTTATCTTTAAGGACAGCAGTGGAATTACACCAGTAAGACATAAAGACACGATGCAGGGATTTAAATAACAAATGAATAACAAACAGAAGTTGTAAGAAAATAAAGATTTTTTTTTCTACGTCTTTACATTATATTGCAGAAACCAATGCTACTGATTGGTTTTATGAGTGATTCGTTACTGAGTGTAACTTTTACACTGTTAATCCAAAACAGGAAGTGACCTGAGATGTTTTCTGTTCTTTAGCTGTGGGATTATGGCCACAGACAAGCTGGATGCGTACACCGGAGGTCTGTACTCTGAATACCAGGAGGAGGCTTTCATCAACCACATCGTGTCGGTGGCAGGATGGGGAGTAGAGGATGGGGTCGAATACTGGGTCGTTCGCAACTCCTGGGGGGAACCATGGGTGAGTCCTCTGCTACAGCTTTATAAGTGGAATCCAGAATGGAAACGTTCACAAACATTTAAATTTAAAGGTTTCGAGAATAACTTTGCTGTTTTCTCAGATTTTATTTCATATATATATATATATATATAGTTTTTTGTTAAATTGCTTTTTCAGATTGAATTTTATTCTTTTCAAATTGTGCTTTACAGATCACACTCTTAATGCTCACATTGACCAATACAGTATTGTTGCCATGCGAAATCTGTCTTTGCTCCTCTTTCCAGACGAAAGCCGTCCCCAGAATGTGATCTGAAAAACACAAAAAAAATACAATTTGTGAAACCCGATTAAGAAAAAAAAAAAAAAACTAATTGGAAAATGGATGAAAATCCATTACATTTTTTTTCAAATTTCCATTTACAGACATATTCTTTGCCTGCAGCAATAAGGATACAAAATTCAATCCATATTAGTTCATAAAGGTAAATTAGGTCAATAACTGTTTTTAAATAACTGCTTATTGATCAATAAGTTTTAGGCTGTGAATCTTTTGTAAACTGATATATAAGGAACATGAGCAGCTAGAAATCAGAATGATCCAGTTTTTATCCCGATAAATGAAAGAACGGATTTGATATTTATTCCGTAACATGTTCTGTTATTTTTTTTAAAGGCATACTATGCAACATTTTTCAGTTAATTAATGTGTTCCATAACGTTTTGGATGATTAAATGAGTCATTTCAGGTTGAACAAAGGTTTTCTCGGCCGCCCTGGTGGTCTGTGGGGGAAATACCGCACTTGCAATTGCAGGAGCACCGACCCGCACCCACAGGCTCAGAAGTCTCGCGAGAGTCGGTCTTGCTTTACGGCGAGAACTGCTACACGCCCCCAGTTAAAAGCATTCTCGTTGCTAGCACAGTGGCGATCTTTGTGCAGTGCTGCTTTCACACCGGACGCAGCAAAATCGCGTCTACTGCTTCATTTTTACTGCTTGTACCAGTTAGTTCTGACGCGCGGCTGAAGCAGCTTTGCTGCTCTGGCTGCGCGGTGCAAAAGTGTGTCTGATGCGCGTTGGGCGGAGCTTCACTATCCTTTCTCTGCCTTGCAGCTATATTTGCTGTGATCAGTGGGAATAAAGTAGTTTTAATATGTTTTTAAGTGAGAAAATCCACCTGAAAACATAATCAGTGCAGTCAGTTCATTCAGATTATCATCCTGTCTTGCAATATTTTTTCTGTCGGAGCCGCTCAGACCCCCACATACCAGCGTTGCGCCGACAGTAGGAATCCCTTCATCAGCAGCCTCTGGCCGGGTCGCCTCCTCGCGGTTCACCGCGGCAGCTGGTAGGTGTTTTTCATCTAAATAATCCAAACTGCAGGCAGCAGGATAATAAAAGCGAACATATTCTGCCGTCAGATTTCTGCATTTTAAGTTAATTTAGGCGTCAATAAACTGTTTAAGAGTAGTGATCATAGCGCTCTGATCATCAGCGCTGTGTCTCTCTCCCTGCCAGCTCCCAGATCAGCTTCTCTGATTGGTTGACGCGACGCGTCGAGCAGCAAAAATTAAATTTTTCCATCTTGAGTAGCAGCGCGTTTGCGGCGCGTCACGCGCGTCAGATGCTTAGTCATTCGTTGTGTTCGCCTGTCTGCTAAGCTCAAAACAACCGCGCCTGGCTTGACGGAGAAACCAGGAGAACAGCTGTGCATATTTACGACAGTGCACTTTTACTTTCGCCCTCGGGGGGGAGCCTCGCTAGAAAATCAACAACGGTTGCATAGTGTACCTTTAAGTGGTAAGGAAACATATTTAAATGTCAAATCGTTCTGGCTCTTTATCCCTCTTTATCTTAAAATTTGTGTTTTTATTATTCCTTATCTCATGCTGGCCAGTTAGTTATACATCAGCCTGAACACCTTAATTCGGCCAATCATATATCAAAGGTCATCTGTCAATCAAGATTGTTGATGTAAAAAAAATAAAATAAATAATACATTTGTAGCATTTTTTTCATTCTTAAACTTATTTCTGACTGAAAATATAATTTTAAAAAACAACATTGTAGCTATCACACACTAATTTAATTAAAGGTTGTTGAAATGTGGCAAATACTGAAGATGTAAATGTAAGCATTCATATAAATATTCTGACCACTAGATGGAGACAAAGAGTGTGATCACCTTATAATAATTAACCTTATACTAGCTTGGCTGTGAGGTGGTTTGTTTGTTTTTTTTCTTTTCTTTTCTGTTTTACATCAGTTTAAAGGTTTCTGAGAATTCAAATTCAAAGTTTTATATAAATATATGTTAGCAGACTGATTTTCTGTAATTATTTGCCTCTCCTCAGGGTGAGAAGGGCTGGCTCAGGATTGTGACCAGCGCTTACAAAGGAGGAAGCGGCAGCAAGTACAACCTGGCGCTGGAGGAGGACTGCATGTTTGGAGACCCCATCGTCCCCAAGGAGTACCATTAGAAGAGCTCATAGGTCCATGCTGGAACGTCTTCTTCCTGAAGGGAAACCTTGATTATTATAATTTTTTATATATATATAAAAACAAAAAGGGATTTTTCCACTTTAAAATCGATGCCACGTACTGCGGAGAAATCTGCAGAGTAAAATTCTTCAACCTGGTTTTTTGTTGTCTTTAAATTGGTGGAGGGTTTGAATCAGTAAAAATGCTGTGAACATTTTTTACAATTAAGACTACACCTTTGGGTTTTAGTGTTGGGTTTTTTTTTTTTTTTTTTTTGTGACCAAACCAAAGCAAACACGCACTGAATGTTTCATTTACTGGTTATTGCACTACAGTCTTAAGTGGAAATCAAACTATAATGTGCCTTATTAACACTGATTGTTAAACTTGGACTAATGCTGCTTCATGTTGAACAATCTATACCACAAAGATTGAATCATCTGCTTTGTTTCAAACTGCTAATAAACAGATTCACATCTTTTTGGGGTTTTTTTCTCTGCGAGGTTCACATGACAGACTTTATGGCGGTGAAGATTCTGAGTCATCCAGTTCACAGTTAATCCCAAAAAAGTAAAAAACTGTTTCCCAGTTTGAAGATGTTTTGCTTCCCATCCAGGAAGCTTTTTCAATTCAGAGTGTCAGAAATAGCATTGAGTTTGAGGCTTTAAAAACTGTCTGCTTTTCATTGCTATTTGCTGGATTCTTTTAAGTTGTCTAGCACTCTGTCCATGCTCCCTATAAGCAGGGGGGATTTAACATTAAGCAATACCAGGCAGTTGCCAAGGGCCACAAGTTCCTAAGGGTCCCATGTTTACATGTATGGTTAATACAACTATTCCTAATTTGTTAAATTATGTTTTTGATATAAATCCTTTGCTAAAATGCCATCAGAACGCCCCCCCCTTCAGTGTCAACCATATTGGATCAGTCTATTTGTTGCACATGTTTAGAAAGGTCCGAACAGACAGCAGCAAACCATTTGAAAACAACCAAACTGTGAAGAGCAGTGTTGCAAACTTCTGTCGCCATATTTAGCCACTTTTCAGACTTAGCACTTTGATTTTAAAAAAAGTGCCTAGTGCCAAATCTAGCGACTTTTTCTGCTGCTCGAAACTTAGACAACATCTAAAAGCAGCCAACTAACGTATAACAGCGTATGGCAGAAACGTTCTTGTTTCTCGTTTTGTTGGCACAGGTTTTCTTTCACATTGGACTGGTTCTAAAGAAGATTAATGTGATATGTAATCAAAATGATGAAGACATCTGATAGGGTTTTCTAGAAGTTATTGGTTTCCTCATCTTGTCTTGCATCACTTTGTTCAAAGCAGCAGACCTTAAGCAGTTCTGGGCTTCAGGATTTTTTTTTATATTCTCCAACTCTGTAATCAACTCCTTAGCCCTTTTTGTGACCACTAACGACTTTAATTTGATCTGAAAGTTTTTCTTTTCTTTTGTCAACCTCTTAACCTGTTCTTCCAAATTCTTGTTTTTTTTTCTGAGCATTTTCTGCTGCTTTACTGCAAGCTTGGACTGACATTTCAATATCATTGGATCTATTAAGTGCTCTTTAATGCTTCCTACCTGGTGTTGTTGCGTTTCCGTTTCTGCAGCGATTTTCTCCATGAAAGCCTTCTGGGAATCTGCTCCAGTTGAAGCTCCTTGATCCTTTTGTCATGCGTCATGCTTAATGTCATCTCCGCTTTAAACCGTTTTTTCACATCAGAGGTAGAGATGGTTTCAGTAAAGTTTCTATCAAGTTCATCATTGAGTCCACATAATTCTTCAATCTTTCTCCTTTTCACGCATTTCTTTTAGGTTAGAGAGATCGTCATTCTTAACCCTAAAAGTTATTTCGACACAATGACTCAAAGATTCTGAACTCACATATATATGAGGGATCAAAGGAATGTATGACATAAGGCTAAACAATAATATTCACTGAAAAAAAAATGTATTTACATTCTGTTATTTCACTGTGTATTTATTTACAACACGGCATCTACGGAGCAAACGCATTGAATTACATAAACTCCCACCTTCTGGCTCTTGACCCTGAACAAAAACGATTGACCTCTAGCATTTACAGCCTCATTAATTCCACTGCCAATGCCTCGGCACCTGGACCCAGGGACTCGTGGGAGCAAGAGCTTGGAACCTCGTTGCCTGAGGATTATTGGCAACAGGTTTTAAAGATGGTTCACTCCTCTTCAATCTGCGCAAGGCACAGCCTCTTGCAATGTAAAGTTGTACATAAAGCCCACTACACTAATCTAAGGTTGTCCCGGATTTTTCCCAATGTAACTGATTCGTGTAATAGGTGCAAACAATCTCCAGCCAACCACTCCCATATGTTTTGGTCCTGCCCCAGGCTTGCCACATTCTGGTCTGAAATCTTCAAAACTCTTAGTACAGCGTACAATATTGTCATCACTCCTGATCCTGACTTAGCTTTGTTTGGTGTCCCCTTACAGCCCTTTAACTCTAAAGCCATTCAGACTCTTCTAGCCTTTGTCACCCTGCTGGCCAGGAGACTCATACTTCTTAAGTGGAAACATCCTCATCCTCCATCTCACAACAGATGGGTGAAGGAAGTACTACTGACACTCAGGCTTGAGAGACTTAGATTTCCCCTCAATCGGTCCTTAAAGGAATAGTACACCCAAAACATGATTAGTCTTAATTTTCTACTCACCCCCATGCTGAACAACACTCTGGAGTACTTTTTTGATATCTCAAATGCAACTGGAGATCTGGGAGGCTTCTTGCTGTCTGCTGACATTCAAATAATGGAGGTCTATGGCGCTCGAGGCAGAAAGGTCCANTGAATGGGGAGCAGGTGTGGGTGGAACTGGCAAGAGGTAATCCAAGGGAAAAGAAAACAATCACAAGGGGGCAACAGAGAGTAACTAAAGAATGCTTGAAGATCATGGAAAATAACAAAACAACTGATAACAGAAAACTCAGAGTCAACAAATAAGAACCATAACAAATTTAAGTAAACTTAGAACTTCTCAATGACAACATCAGTTTATTTTTAGAGAAGCAAGTATTTACAATAAACTATTAAAAACATTTTAACTATTGACATTAGATTTTAAAATTACCTACTACAACTATTTACAGGAGATATATAGTAAATATTGCTAGAGAACATATATATATATATATACAATTGTGACTGAGCAGGAGTCCCTGGTGGTGCTGCTGGACTGGATGCGATGCCACACAGATGACCTTGGAGTCTTCTGACTGCGAGTGGGACATCATCTGGAGGGTGGGGGGTGCCTCTCTCCACTGTTCACCATATCGTCCATCAAGGTTTGCAGGGCTGACCCAATCGACGGCTGCCATGTTACTAAAAAAGTTTAAAATGACGCAGAAAATAATGACTTTACTAAAACTGTTTTCATAACCCTGAAATGAGAACAGCTAAAATGTGATTCTACTTGCCATCTAAATGTAACGATGGTCGGGTAGACCCTCCTCCAGAGCAGACACCTCAGCAGACAGCTGGTCCCTACATGGAGCACCAGTGACTGCCTCCAACACGTTCTCCCCCTCCTCATCCTCTGGCATGTCATCCTCTGGGGCAGTGATGTCACCGGCTCCCAGGCAGATGTTGTGCAGGACAGCACATGCTGTTATTAGGAAAAAAAAGACAAAAATATTTATTTTTATTCAGTCATCTATCTTTTTTTCATTATCTTTATTAAATAATTTATTAGAAATTAAAATTTCAGATCCAGTATTTAACTTATTTTTTTGTTTTTATATTTTTATTTTTTTCCTGTATATATATATATATATATATATATATATATATATATATATATATATATATATATATATATATATAAAATTGCAAATAAAACCAGGCAGTAAGGGGATAACAATTTAGACAAAAAACAATTCATTTCTCAACAGTTTGGCTTCTCAACACAACATTAGTGATGGTGAAAGTAGTTATTTAAGTCAGTTATTTACAGGGTTTCTACACATTTAACTATTCAATTCAATTCAAATTTCTAAAGTTACAAACAAATAAATTACAAACTTACAAATAAATATAAAATTTGATATTTAAACATATTCATCAATCTGCTGACAAGCGTTTGTTTAATAACTCGTATATTCTGATCATTAGCAGGCCCCTGTGGGTTAGAATAATAGCAGGTAGATCTTACCTCTCCACTGTGCTCTGCCAGCCGAAGCCGTCAAAGCGACTCTCCTCCTCCAATAACAAGTAAATAAAAATTTCCATATCTATTTTTTTGTTTTTGTTGTTTCTTTCCGTATTTCTCGAGCTGTCGGATTTTGTTTGGCGCTGTTTTTGGGGTAAACGTGATGACGTCGTGTCGCAAACAGGAAGTGCTCCAAAGGCTAGACCGTCCCATTTACCAACGGCTGAGGATCCTCCGGAGCAGCCTACCAAGGCTGGGTCCTCCGGAGGCTAGGTAGGCTGGGTCCTCGGAAGTACACAGCCTGCGAATTGAGACGCTGCGTATATGTAGCTGGCTGAGACAAAGGCAGGGCTAACAAGCTGACAAGGAGCAGGTGTCAGAGGAGACAACGAGGGAGCCAAGGGGAAAGGAACACACACGAGGGCAACAGAGGACAACAACAGAAAAACCTGAGAACTAACATAAATCTAGAAACTACATCAAAACAGGAATTAAACCAATAAAACTAGAAAACATGGAGCAAAGTAAAGCACAACAGAACAGAGACCATGACAAAAAAAAATCATGAATGTTTCATTATTAATGGGTGTAATCTTTAGTCCATATATTTTAAACTGGAATAAATATTTTGTCAAAAGTTCACAGTGACATATTTTGGCATTAAAAATTTGAATGTTTTACAGTATATGACTAAAGGTAGGCAGCTTTACTTGAAACTGTCACCATTTAAGAAAAACAACAGCTTTTAACGGAAGTTGGTTTGAAAATAACCTGAATGTCGACATTGCTCTTGTATTATTCATGATAAAATTGTCATAATTTTTAACTCTGATTACTGGCTTTGTGTTTTAAATAAGTAAAAAAATTAAATAAAAGAAATGTTAAAATAAATAATGTCATTTTTTATTTACCTTTGCATTTGCTTTCACTGTTCTCCTCACTTTGTCCTTTCCACCGAGGTGGTTAAACTGATGTGTGCCCGTGTCTCACTGTCTTCCACTCCTTAAAGGGTGGGGCTATGTTTACTTTTTTTTCCCCTCATTGTTATTACCAGTTTGTACTTTGCATTGAGCTGTGTGAAAATTTTTTTATAACTTCTCCTCTTACAAGGTGGGGCTGCAATGCAATAAAATTGAAATCTAAATAAGTCTTCTCTCTTTTTTAATGAGGGGGTAAAACAGACACTCTGCAAATGGAACAAGACAAATTCCATTTAAAATAAGTGAAAACAATTGTCTTATTTGAAGTGCGTATTCAGTAGTCTATTCGTAAAAGAAGAAAAAAAAAGCTTTTTTGGA